AAGAGGGGGAGCGACATAATGGTGCCGTGACTCAGATATGAAGCCTAGGCAGGGTTTAGTGTCGTTCCCCCACGAAGACGGGGAGCGACACAACCCCTGAGCTGATATCAAAGCTTTGAGCATAAACACTGCAAAAACAAACAAAAACAAAAACAAAAATATAAAAACAAGAATCATGGCCAGTATCTAATGGGAACTATATGTGTGGCTCCATTATTAAGTGAAAATTCCTTGAAGAGAACTAACATGACCCCAAATCAGTAATGCCATATGGATAAAGCAAATATAAACAATCTCTGAAGGAAAGCACCCTTGATTTGAGGCCCAGATTAAAATCAACCAGATGTAAACTCTCAATCAAAGATAAGCATTGCACAATTAATCCTGTAAGACAAATCAATACAAATAATACAAGGCATTATCACATCATTATAAACTTTAAGCTTTCAACTTAAAAAAAAAACAGAATGTTAATATACCTATATGAAATTTTTAAAGAAGTAATCTTGAAAAATTAACAAGAGAATATAAAAAATGACAAGGTGATGGGGACAGGAATATGGTCCAGTAGTTAAGATGCTCATGTGCCCTAACAAAGTACCTAGGTTCAAGTCTTGATTTTTCTCCTATTTCTAGCCTCTTGCTAATAGGGACCTTGGAGGCAGCAGGTGATGGCTAAAGCAATCAAGTCCCTGACACCCACATAGGAGGCCTAGATTGCGTTCCTAAGTACTGGTGTCAGCCTGGCTCAGCCTTGGTGGTTGTGGGCATTTGAGGAGTGAACCAACAGAGGCTTAATCATGTATCTTTAAAAAACCGACAAGGAGGAGGAGAGATCAGAACTTCTAAAAATGAAAGACAAAAATATTAGAGTAACAAAATAAATGAGGGGCAGGTGTTTGACATAGCAATTAACTTGCTGCTTGGGATATCCACCTGGTATTCCAGATCAGAATGCCTGGGATCAAGATCCTGCTGTGCTCCCAATCCCAGCTACCTGCTAATGCATACGTTGGGAAATAACAAATGATGGGTCAAGTGTTTGGGTCCCTACCACCCACTAGGGTAACTCAGATTGAGTTCCTGGCTCTGAGCTTCAGCCTGGTTCAGGATGTTGCTTGGGATCCCTATATCCCTTATCAAAGTGCCTGGGTTCAAGTCTAGGCTATGTTCACAATTCCAGCTTCTTGTTAATGCACACCCTGGGAGGCAGCAATTAATGGCTAAAATACTTGAATCCCTGCTACCTATGTGAGAGACCTGGACTGAGTCCAGACTCCTGGCTTCAGCCTGGTCCAGTCCCAGCTGTTGTGGGCATTTCAGAAGTGAAGCAGATAGATGGGAGATCTGTCAGTCTGTCTGCCTTCCAAATAAATAAAAATAAAATTAAAGAAACACGAATGGGATAAACTGCAGGTTAGACACGAGTAAAGAGAATTAACAAACTGGAGTATAGATCTTAATGAAGTAAGAAGAATACAGCCAAAAAAAAAAAAAAACCAAGGAGATAGAAAGCATGAAGATTAATAGATATAGAAGAGATAGAAGAGAGAATACTATGTTCTAAAACATCTCTATTTCAGTTTCCAAAACAGGTGAGCAGAGAGAAAATGGAGGAAAAACAGCACTTGTAAATACATTGGCTGATCATTTCCCAAAATGATCACGGTATAAATTTGCAGAAAGAGGAAACCGAATACATTTGTTTGAATCATATGAGATGATAGATCAAAAAGTAGTTGAATACTATTAATTTCATATGGTTCAATCTATTTTAAGATAAACACAAAGAAACTAACACCAAAGATTCATGGCAGTAAAAATCCAGAATGCAAAAGACAAGTGCCTCAAAAATAGCCTAACAGAAAAGAGACATCACGAATAAAGAAATGACAAATTAGCCTAACATCAAAGATTTCAACAGTAAAAATGGAACATATATGACAGTGGAATAAAATTTTAAAGTACTGAAAGAAAAGAACTGTCAACTCAGAATTGTTTACCTAGTAAACCTTCACTCAAGACAAAAAGGCAAAAAAAAAAGTTATTTTCAGATACACACAAACTAGGAAGCATTTACTACCAACAGATGTAAACTAGAGGAACTTTTTAAATTATACACTTGAGAAAAAAGGAACAGACTCCTGTTAGAAAGACTCATCATGCTCAGTAAAAGACAGAGATTGTCAGATAGGATAAAAGACATGCAATAATATGCTAATCAAAGCCTTAGAGGCTCAGAAAAGTTGAAAATTAAAACATTAGGCAAAGCAGACTAAGAAAAAAATGAAGCATTGTTACAGGATGGAGAAAGTCAGCAGACAATGTAAAAGATTAAGAGAGATTAAATAATCATACATTTCTATGACCTTAATAAATTGCTTGAAAATAAATATAAACTAACAATTGATAGAGTAATACAGAGAAATTGGTAAAGCCAACAATATAATGGGAGATTTCAAAATACTTCTCCATGATTGATGGATCAAAGAACAAAAAAGACTCAATAAAGGTTGAAAATTACAACTTGAAGATTAATTTATTAGACCATGAGACCGACATCCAACAACTAGATAAATATATTCTCAAGCACACATGGAGAATTATAAAACCTAATGATATATTAGTCCATAAAATATATATCAACAAAGTTCAAAGAACTGATGCCATAAAAGCACAATTTCTATCCATAATACAGTTAAATTTTATGCTAAGAGCAGAAGAATAAACCAGATGACTTTTAAATATCTCACAATAAATAATGGGTCAATGAAGAAATTATAATGGAAATTAAAACACTCAGAACTAAAAGATCATGAAAATACATAAGAAATGTGTTATATGCAGAAAAGTAATTAGAGAGGGAACAGCACTGTGGCGCAGAGGGTTAAGCCACCACCTGTGATGCCAACATCCTATAAGGACACCAGTTCAAGTCCCAGCTGCTCCACTTCCAATACAGCTCCCTGCTAATGTGTCTGGGAAAGAAGCAGAAGATGACCTAAGTGCTTGGGCCCCTGACACCGACATGGGACACCCGGATGAAGCTTCTGTCTTTTGGTTTCAGCCTGGCCCAGCCCCAGCCATTACAGCCATTTGGGGAGTGAGTGGATAGAAAATGGATCTCTCTCTCACTCCTTGCCTCCTTCCCTCCTTCCCTCCCTCTCCCTCCCTGTCTCTATGTCTTTCCCTCTGTCTCTGTAACTCTGCCTTTCTAATAATAAATATTTATTAAAAAGTTTTAAAAAAGAAAATTAGAATTTTATAATCTTTAATGATTATGTTAGAAAACGTTCAAGACAGTATTTAATTCATTGAGTTTCATCCTAAGAATTGTCTAGGGCAGGAGAGGGGAAGGATGATCCGAATAAAATCGAAAGAAAGCAAAATGTAGGAGATAATAAAGAGTAGAATTAATGTACTATGACACAAATTTATAATACTATTTATAATAGAAAAATATTATGTGTAATAGAAAAAATAAAAATCTACAGTTGATTCTGGTAAAACATAATAGAAAGGTTGTAAAACTTGTCCCAGTTTACATAGCTAAGACACGGACATGCCAGGATTTAAATTCAGGCAGTCTGTCTCCATAGACCCAGTTCTTAATAACTATGCTTTACTACGTCCTAAAAATAGTTAATTATAAAAGGCTGCTGCATTTAACTACATTCATCTACATTCATCGTAAGTGCCTCCATGTACCATAAATACCATAAAAGCAAATACATGCAACACATATAACTGAGGAAAGATCAGTATTCAGACTATATTTTAAAACTCCTATAAATCAATAAGAACAAAAGAGAACAGCCTAATAAATAAATAGGGAAAAGACACAAGCAAGGATCCCTCAGAAAGTGAAAACACAAACGACAAATAAACATTTGAGAAGAGGCACAACTTCACAGGTTATCAGAGAAATGCAAAATACAATATGATGATATTTTATGTGTTAACCTGACAAAAATTTTATAATGTGGTAAACATGTAGAACAATGGGAATTGCTCGTAGGATGTAATTAGTACAATCCTCTAGAGAGACAACTGGACCACTATGTTATAACATATTAAACATTCACATATGCCATGATTCAGGTGTTATACACCTAGTTATATATGCTAGAGTAATTTACAAAGTTCACAGGGGGGAAGGTGTTAGCATAATGGCCAAGGCACTGCTTGGGATGCCCAAAATCCATATCAATGTATCCTTGCTTGAGTTGTGGCTCTGCTCCCAATCCCAGGTTCCTACTAACACACACCCTGCAAGGCATCAGGTGATGACTCAAGTAATTGGGTTCCTGCCATTCATATGGAAGACCTGGATTGAGTTCCTGGCTCTCAGCTTTGGCCTGGCCCAGTCCTGGCTGTTGCAGGTATTTGGGGAGTGAACACATAGAAGGGAGATTTCTCTGAATGTGTGTCTCTCTCTGGCAAATAAACAAACAATACATTTAAAAAATAGTTTATGGAAAAAATGGAATTAAAAAATAAATTTAGTTCAGTGCAAAATAATTTTGAAATTCAGTAGATTTTTTTTACAATACGCATATTCCATGAACTTTTGGAAAACCTCTTGTATAGTCTAAGACATACACAAGGATGTCACGAACAGCAAAAGACTGGAAAGCTCTTGTGCCCATCAACATAAAAATAAGGAAATGGATTGTAGCATATTCACAATGAAGTACTATATAGCAATGAAAATAAACTATAATTATATACAAGGATGCTATCTTGAAACACAACACTCAGTGGAAAAAAGAATTAACATTGTTTTTATGAAGCTCTATCATCACAATGCTTAAAAAAGAGGCCAAAATTCACCTATCACATAAGTAGGTAGGGAGGCAAATAAGATTATAAAACAACTTGAACAAAGTGTATATTCACATATATGAAATCTTGAACAAATCTTATTTTGGTTTTTCTAATTTCCTTTGTTAATTAAGTATAAATTGCAGAAGACACAAGAGAATCAATGCCAAACTCACCTGCAGAAACACTGTGGGAGTTCTCCTTGGCCATATAAAGGAAACAAAAATGGAGTGTTGCCATATCGCCCAAGACAGTGAAGAAAGTTTTTCGTAGCTTTGAGGCCATCTAAGGTAGTGGTGGTTGTCTCTGATGTCATTGCAATCGAATGCAGGACAAAATATTGCAGGTTGGGGGTTAATTTTTGAGTTTTTAAATATTCAGAAAATGCAATCTCTTCATAGCCTATGAAAAGAAAGATGAAAATTTATCAATTAAAATTGGACCTAAATTTCTATTTAAAATCACTCCCAAAAATATGAGATTAAGTCTGTCTAAAAGACTTCACAAAAAACTCTGGTGGTAATATTATTATTAAATTTTGGAGAGTGATTGATCTTGGGGTGGAAAGACAATCTCACTATCCATATTAGATCACTGGCACAATTTTTATGCTTTAAATGATGAATTTTTGTTTTCTATTTTATGGATGTAAAAAAACAGAAAATCATTAAACAACTCAATGAGTTGCCATAGCTGGCAATAATCTCACTTTATTAACTTGAAAAACTGCAGAATAAAACCAAAAATTGCACCTGAAAATATTAAATATGACAAAATGGAAATTTACTAATGAAATGACACATGATTCATGAAATGCATACTTCTTACTAAAACTTATAGCACTCAACTATGACTAAAAAGTAATTAAACGAGTTTCTATATGGCTCCTAGAATTGGTCTTCTTGTTATAAAATCACACTTCAAAACATAAGAGACCCCTAAACTAAGAACACAAAACAATGTAATTGGAATGATAGCAGTAGGAAATACAATCTCATAAAAAATGCAAAACATTTATAAATAAAAATTATAAAAATTCACTGAGAGAACATATGGACTTGAAACTTCAAGAACAGCAATAACAGACTTATTATTTCTTCAGAGAAAAAAACAATACTGCTGTACTTCTCAGTTTAACTTTATAAATTAGCAATAGTGTATTCCAATTCTGAGTAACAGTTTCAGCTGAACACACTTAAAAGTGTTTAGCTCTGGGGCCAGTACTGTGGCATAGTGGGTTAATCCTGCAGCTGTGGAACCGGCATCCCATATGGGCACCAGTTCTAGTCCTGGCTGCTCCCCTTCTGATCCAGCTCTCTGCTATGGCTTGGGAAAGCAGTAGAAGACGGGCCAAGCACCTGGGCTCCTGCACCAGTGTGGGAGACAAAGAAGCAGCTCCTGGCTTCAGATTGGCCCAGATGCAGCCATTTGGGAAGTGAACCAGTGGACGGAAGACCTTTGTCTCTCCCTCTCACTGTCTGTAACTCTACCACTCAAATAAATAAAATCTTTTTTGAAAAAAAAGTATATAGCTCTGATGCTGAAATGATGCATTGAATGTGCAACAAACTGAAGTAACAGGCCCTAGATCACACAGTGAAATGAGTCACATCCAAGACCAGAAACCATGTCTTCGAATCTAGTGGCTTCCCTGATATACTGCATGCCTTTTTATATTTTGTCGATAAAAATGAATATTTCAAAATTCCAAGCATAAGTATACTTGAAAATTATTAAGTATACATCTTACTTCTGATGAGAAAAAAATACCGTGACAAAAGACAACATCATCTATGAAGAGCCAGTTGATAGCAGCATTTAACTAACAACACTAAAAATTTAAGGCTAGTACAGAATTTGTAAAATGAAGAAAATATCGGCAGGGTAGCTGCAGTAGCCATTAGCCACATGTTGCTACAGAGCACTTGAAATCTGGATAGTGAGATTGAGTAATTGTATTTTAATTACATTTTTTAATTTAGTTTTTTAAATACTACATGTTGCTAATGACCTACTAAATAGTCCAGGAATAGAAAGCATTTTAAAGCAGTAATAAGTAGCTCATTAAATCAGAGAAATACAAATATTCTCTATACCCTTTAAGATATCCATCGTTTTCTTTTTTAACCCCAGTCTTTGACTTGAAAAATTTTGTGGCATAAAGAGTTGCACAGGTTATACTTTAGAAGAAAATGAGTATTCCCCCCAAAAATGAAAACTAATTAAGATTTTAGGGATTTTACTTTTTCTTTTGTAATTGCATAAAAAATGGGAAAATAACTGAAGCAGAATTTCAATGTGAAGACTTTTTTGCTATAATCATTAGTTTTAAAGGTACTGTTAATTTAGCATGTTTCCCTACATTTTTCTTCAAGTATCTTCTATCATGAATTCCCTTTTAATGAACTGTAGGTAATTTAAAATAAATTCCTACAACATAAAAAAATCAAATAGCTGGAGAATGCAATTAAATAAAAACTAATACCTTTATATTCATCAGGATGTTCCTCATATTCCATGCAAAATGTAAGAAATTTCATTAACATTCGCTTTTCTACCATACTAAGTTGTTTGCTGTTAAAAACATCTGCTCTGGAACAAGGAACCTGAAAAAAAATATGACAATATTAAGAAACTGCTTCTTTATGATACAAGTATTACAAATAAAAATTTCTTCTCTTACATATACAGGATTATTTCCATTCTGGTCAGAATATTCCATGTTACCTCTGTCTAGTTCGAATGGCATCTCTGTTAACTTCAGAGCTAATTAACTTGTGAGTTCTCTTTCTTAATTCTGCCAAGTTGCTTCTCATGCCACTGAAAGGCCAATGGCATATCACCCTTACCAGGAAAGAAGTGACAGCTTAAATCTACCAGTGCTGCCTGAAACTAATACTTTCTCAATACCAACATTAAGCTGTGGAATAACTCATGAGAAAATTAACATGAGAAACTGTAACTGAGCAAAGCTTACACTTTGCACTTGTAAATCACTTGGCAGGATTAGAATTTACTGCTTTACCAAGGAGTAACAATCTTACTGCTTATCCTTCCAAAACAACCCATAATAACTTCAACTCATAACCAGATACAATACTTGGTAAGCACAGTACCTGTTCCACTCTTCCTTCTCGAAATGCAAGAATCCTGGTAATATTTTTAAACTCTGCATATCGACTAACATTAGATTTGATAAGAAGATCAATGAGCAATCCCCGAGAATACAGCAGCTGTATAAAGAAAATATTTTAGAGAATAAGGTAAAAGGTGCAACAGCGGAAAATTGATAAGTGCTAAATATACAAAATTCAGTTATATTTTAAATTATTTATAAAAAAGTATACCTTTAAATATTATAGTACATATTATGACAACTTCATAACTGATTATCTAAAACTCAAAATCCAAAAAACTGTAAAAATGATCCATACTGACATAAGGCACTTCTGTCTTTATCTGTCCCTCTTAATGTGAATATTCGTACATTTCTCTGCAGAAATATTAGTGGGTTTAGACACAGAGTGCCTCTTGGACCCTGCTAAGAACGTTACATAATACATACCATATCAGCAGTCTCAATATTAATTTATACTATATTTTTTAGAAGTCTGAATGATAAGACATACTAGGCCCCTGTAGGCCAGGTGGTTGTAAAAAATCAGACTGATGGACCTCCCCAACCCACCAAAAAAGAAAGAGATAAGTGATGTACTTCCACTAAAATACTCCAATAACAAGGTCCCTCTATAATCCAAGCAGTCTTGGTTTATATGAAGTATGTGTTTGTCAATAAGTAAGAATGACAGTTACTTCCAGCACGTATACAAAGGATTGATTTAACCTTTCAAAATCTCTCATAACTACTCTCAGAAACACAAAAACAATAATTTAAACAGTATTATCTGTCATACTGTGAATTGAGCCATATGGTTAAATGCTAAATGTTTGGCTAAATCTATGTCTATAAGTTGATAAATGTTAAAAATGTAAATGCGGGGCCGGCACAGTGGCATAGTGGGTTAAGCCTCTGCCTGCGGTGCTGGCATCCCATATGGGCACCGGTTTGAATCCCGGCTGCTCCTCTTTTCTGATCCAGTTCTCTGCTTATGGCCTGGGAAAGCAGCAGAAGATGGTCCATGTGCTTGAACTCTTGCACCCATGTGGGAGACCAGGAAGAAGCTACCTGGCACCTGGCTTCAGATCAGCCCAGCTCCGGCCATTGCGGCCATTTGGGGAGTAAACCAGTGGATGGAAACTTTCTCTCTCTCTCTCTGTAACTCTGCCTCTCAAATAATAAATATATCTTTAAAAAAATTTTAAAATTAAAAAATGTGTTACACTATAATATATGAGGATGAGGAAATAAAATTAGCTTTACTATACAAATATAAACATAATCTCAAAAACCAATCTTACTCAATTCATCAAGTATCCAACAGGTCAAGAAATACTTTCTGTACATCAGTAGAAGCTAACTGAAATTTTATAAAAGGTCAGCATTGTTTAGAACAAACAAAATGGGAATCACATTTTTAAGCAAATCTGATTATTCTGACTAAATATGGCATGTTACTTGATTAGATTCCTCTTAACACACCATGCAACCAATACAGCTCATACTTTTAAGAATATAATGTCATTTTAATACTATAATAATAATAAACACAGGCACTTCAAAAATCTCATTTGTTTAAACAACAAATATTTGTAAGAATCCCTCAAAAGTCATAATGACAAATATAAACATATGTAAAATCTTCATGTAATAAAATCTAGTAATATTTAAAGATATAATGCCAGCTTCAAAAATGCATTTGGCCTTCTGCCACGTGTTCCATCATGTGCACACTGGCAGTTGGTCACCCATCTCTATGAATTTATCTTCTCTGAATAAATTTGGCCTGGCTGTAGATTCATTCACTGCCTCCTCTCTATTCTGTGCCTCTTTTCCTAACATCTATGGTGCCCCGTGTGAGGAGGGGAGCAAGGAATCAGCATCTTGGCCAAACCAGCCGCTCCTGCATCCTCTGGCCAGAGCCCTTGAGCAGATCTCATCGCTGCACTCAACATGGGATCTCATTCTCAACCCATGGTATGGCTACCTGAGGTGAGCTGACCCTGAGTCAGTGATTTCAGAGTCAGCCAAGGAGCTACAAGGAATTCTTTCTCTTGGGGATTCGCCCTTCTCTCCTTGCCTTGGAATCTTGGAAATGCTTCCTGGTACAAGAAAAGAGTGCTTCTGAAGAAGTCAGCAGGCTGTGGGACTGGCTCTCTGCTATGGCCTGGGAAAGCAGTGGAAGATGGCCCAAGTGCTTGGGCCCCTGCCCCCAGTGGGCAGAAGCTCCTGGCTTCTGGCTTCTGATCAGCACAGCTCCGGCCACTGCAGCCATCTGGGAAGTGAACCAGCAGATGAAGACCAATCTCTCTCTCCCTCTCTCTGCTTTTCAAATAAATACATAAATCTTTGAAAATACATTTATGTAAATATAAAAATAATATATAATTTTGACTTCAGAATAATTAGTGCATAAAAGGTTTGATGCAATGTTCATTATTTCTTTTGTAAGAAGTACAATTTACTTTAGTTTTTAGAGTTGTTCTCTGACAAGATTTTATAACCATGGTTGTCTAATATCTTAGTTTCTTAAAAAATCTATAATTGTTAAAAATAAGTTAGTAAACACAAAAGATAAATATTTTCAAATTCATGTACTGTTGTTTGTAAAATATGTAAAATGCATTAGGCCTTTTAGTAAATATTTTTCATAAACTGTTGATATATGACAAACCATTTTAATTACTTTTAAGTAACTATGTGTTAAGATTCTATACATTCTTTGAAATGTTTTATACTTAATTTAGAGGCTTTAAAAGATTATTGCAAAATGGAAATTAAAAAACCAGCAAGCAGGAGAGAGAGAAATATTTTGGAAGTTCCAGACATGAGAATGTGTCTTAGTAAGTAAAGCTACTTCAATTAAGGGGAAAAGTAAGCAATGTTTGACTTAAAGTGACACAGCTGATGTCCTTTAAGGAGGCAGAGGAATGATATAAAACAAATAATTGAGGAAATGTTATAGGTTTGTGGAAAAATCTTGTATGAGATTAATTTGAGATTAGAAGGAAATTATTACATGGGTTTCTATAACTTGGGCATTGTTATGAAAGGTACACTGATATAGAACTAGGATTTATTCCCCTATATTAAAACAATAAAGTTTCTAAAAACATATACAGAAATATATTAGTAAATATCTGCAAAGTGTCTTGATCTTCAATTTCAAAATCTTTTTCTAAATACATTTTCTCCTCTTAATAGTTTCTGCTTATATAATTATTCCCTCTGACAATTTTCTAGCTATCTTCTGTAAGCTATTTTATGTTCCTTGGATTCGACACTGTCATGGCCTGACTTGACATATAAAATGTTTATATAAAAAGCCATTTGATGAGATCCCAGTGGAAAGAACAGGTCTTCAAAGAAGGAGGTACCTTTCTCTGAAGGGAGGAGAGAACCTCCACTTTGACTATGACCTTGTCTAAAGAAAATAAGAATCGGAGAACTCAGAGGGCTTCCATAGCCTTGGAAACTCATGACTGGAGCATAGGGAGATTACTGATGCCATAGACAGGAGTGTCAATTGGTAAAGTCAACAACAGGAGTCACTGTGCACTTACTCCTCATGTAGGATCTCTGTCCTTAATGTGCTGTGCATTGAGATTTAATGCTATAACGAGTACTCAAACAATATATTTCACTTTGTGTTTCTATGGGGGTGCAAACTGTTGAAATCTTTACTTAATGTATACTAAACTGATCCTCTGTAAAAAAAAAAAAAAAAAAGAAATTATCAACTCCCAACTTGACTCTCACTGGGATTAAACATGACAATAGGTCTGATCTGATTTCATCATCATTTAAAAAAAAATCATCTATTATTTTTTCACTTTATGTTCTGTGTGGGAGCAAACTGT